AATGCAAGAAACCAGTGCAAAGAGGAAGCAGATGAAAGCTGAAGCACAGCCAAACATGGGGGACCTGCAAAACGAACAGGGCATCATGTATGGGTTCAGTGTAACAGTGCTACACACCTTGGTGATAATGCAGTCAGAAGCCGCCATAACTTCAGGAATGTTGGTAACCACGCCCTTGATCTGCGTAGGCATGGGCCACGTCATCGCTTCCAATGTCGCCTGCAGCTGCTTATTCCGCCCACAGATAATTATCAGCTGCCCTTTCGCTCTGCCCCCTGGCGTTTCCGGCGCCAGTGTTGTCGCCAGAGCTCTTGCGGTCACCTCCACAGGGCCCATGCCTTCCCCTCCGCCAATCAGCAGCACCGCTGGCAGGTCCGGATCCATGCCTAGCCCTTGCCGAACCTCGGCTTGAGGTCCGGAAGGCTTGGCGAAGGCAGGGCGAATAGGGAGTCCATGCACGCGGATTTGCGAGGGTTGGAGTCCGGCTTTAAGTGCCTGTTGTGCGACCTCTTTCGTCGGGCAGAAACAAACGCTCACTTGTCGGCTGAACCACGTGGGATGGCAGGTGGTGAGATCCGTAACTACAGTGATGAACGGGATGCGGTGTAGAAGCCCCCTCGATTTAAGCACACGCAGCGGGATGTGCTGCATCAGCGGGTGCACGCTTACAATCACATCCGGCTTGTATTTATCCAACCCCTTCGACACGGTTCGCGCGACGAACGCGAAAGTCGCCGCCATCTGGGGCTGATGCACGAATTTCGGCTTCGTCGCGTAGTAGGTCATCTTCCAGAGGGTCTCGTGTCGCACCAAGAAATTGTAGCTCTTCGGGAGTTGGTTGAACGGCCATGGCGTGTGATCCGTCCACATGTCCACCACGTTGACTTCGTACTTGTCGCCGAACTCCATCTCGAACGTCGATTTCAGAGCCTCCGCGCTCGCGCGATGGCCCCCGCCAGTGTCACTCATCAATATAAGCACGCGCTTTCTCCGCACGGGGTCTTGCACCTTGCGCTCCCACTCCGCCATGGCCATTGCGCGCGCCGCGTGCTCCACGGCGGACTTCGCCGGGCGACCGCGCAGGCGACTGTGGAGAGGTCCGCGACTGCCCTTGCGACCACCTGCGACAGGCAGCCACGCGAAACCGGGGCCAAGGCAGGAGAAGGAGAGGGAAATTAAGTACGGATCAAGGGCGCGGAAGATGGTGAACGGGAAAGGGGAGTGCGGAAACTGTACTGTGGATGGGGAGAACAAACATGGGGGGAAAAGTTACGGGGGTATCTGGACTAAGTTCGCTTGGCGTATCTGGCCTGACGTATTGGGCCTGCAGCTGTCGCCCTGCGAACAGGCGCACATGTTGCCGACAGGGCTACCCTCGACTGTCGAAAATCGGCGCGCAGCCCTTTCTACCGGTCGCCGTTTCAACCCGCCGCTCCAAGCCACAGCTCCTTGCCACTCTCTCGCTCGAACTACCCCCCACCCTCCGCTCCCCGCACTCCGCCCGCATTCCTTGCCCCGTTCCCCTCACCTTTGCGTGCGGCGTTCTTTTTGCCCTCCGCGTTGCACTTGGCGTAGCCGTGGCTGCGCGGGTTGCGCCACAGAAACTGCTCCTTCACGGGCGCGGGGGAAGGGTGCGCGTCCCCCCCCACCACGGGCGGAAGCGGAATGAACGTCGCGGGGGAGGGGAAGGCCGAGGACGACGACCGCACGGAAGCCACCGCAGGAGAAGCGGAAGCGGTTTGATCCGATACTGCTTGCTCCGATACGGTTTGCTCCTCTGTATCTCCCTTTCCCTCAGACTCGCTGTAATCCCCGTTCCCCTTCTCAGCATCTTCCCCCGCTTCCGCCACTCCCGCCTCCCCCGCCTCTTCTGCCTCCCCCTCCCCCTCCCCCTGTGTTTCACTGTAGTCGCCTCGTTCCCCCTCCGCTAGTCTCACCGCCTCCCTCCCCTCAACCTCCAGCATCACTCGCGCCGGAATTTCCGCCGTGACTTCCGCTCCCCTGCGCGTCAACAATATTTGTACTCCGGACGAGACTTCCTGCGGCTCTAGCTCTGCCGAACCTGAACCTTCCGCGCCTGAGCCTTCCGAACTAGAACCTGCCGAGCCTGCGTCAGATCCCGATGTTGAGCAAGGGCCAGATTGCGAATCTGCTGCATCGCCTCCGTCCAATCCAATGCTGTAACCCGACTCGGCGAATATCGCCCTCGCGAAATCGGTCCGGAAAAACGATCTAGGCCCACTTCGTTCCTCGATGGAGCTTGTTGGATGTAAGCTGACCTTCTGGGGGACGAGAGGAAAACACAAAACAATACATCGGGGCACGCTTAAGCGAGGCTGCACTGGTATGCAACAACAGTGAGCAACGCAGCGCCAGATCAGGACACGCAGAAAAGCACCGAAGGAGGATATGCGGAGGGACAGTGGGTTGGAGGGGGTGGTGCGCGGGGGGTTGAAGGGGGGGGGGGGGGAGGGGAGGCTTAGATATAAGCACCTTCACCGGCTTACCTCATGTAGGGACGGGATGGCGTTGAAGGAAAAGGCGACCATGGTGAAGCCGATGACGATGAGAAACACGGACGCGCGGAAACTCAACAGCGCGACGCGCCTCCCTTCTTGCCATTTCTTCGAGAACCATTTACTCGCCTCCGGTATCGAGCTCGGCGTCAGCACCCCCCGCGCTTTCCCCGATTGTAGCTTCCTCGCGTGCCGTTTACAGTCGGGCGTTACTGGGCTCTCGGGGCACGATAACAGCGGCGTAAGGCCGTCAGGAGATTTCGTCATCGGCCCGGGGCTCTGCCGACATGTCATAAAGTACGCGCTTTTCGAGGTCTCTCTTTCACACGGTTTCGCACACGCTGGTAACTTTTCGTACGCGGGGAGTTCCGCAAGTGGCGAGCGTTCTGCGGGGTGGTGGTGGCGGTGAGTGAGGAAGGTAGGAGGAGAAGCCTGCAGATGGATATTCACGGACGGGTGATCGACCATAATAAACTCCGTCGCACCAGAGGCGCGCTGCTACGGCGCCACGTCCGCGCTAAGAGCAGCCGCGGCTAGTTGGGAGAGAGTATGGAGGTTTCGGGAGGGCTGAGGTGGAGAGTCGGGAGGTAAGGAGCCGGGGAGGGTTAACTGGAAACGGCACAATATATGGACACGGGGTTAATTGGAGGAGCTAGTGAGGCGGCGAGCGGTTTGCCGGAAGCTGAGGCCGAGGGGATGACTGGGGCGCAATGCTACAGGTGTTGCGTCTTTAGCTTCGCTATTTTTTTTTAATATCGGCTTTCGCACAGAATGCAATAAAGCTGCTGCTAGTAGGTCTTGTGCTTATTTCGAATCGGCTGATCTATTCGACAGCCATGGTGCCAACCAGCCCGTGCTAATATTGGTCTATGTTCCTCCTGCCACCGATTCCATGGGGGCGACGACAGTATCCCACCGAACAACCGACGAGCAACTGAACCTCACAGATACAGAGACAGACATGAAAGCTACACAAGCAGCCACCGATCCAATCCACGACAATTCGCTCTCCGCGTGAGAAATGGGAAACTCACTTTGCTCCTCGCCTCCGCCCCCTAGGGTAGGCGATGATTCGCGCGGACGATGTTTTTTGTTCGTCTAGCCCTCCGAGCTCTCGCTCTCAGTCGCTCACTCCCTCGCCCGCACCCGCACTAGGTCGCACTGGGTCGCAAGGTGCCGCCGCGTGGGACGAAGAAGCGCGTGGAGGGGGAGGGGAGTAGCAGTTCGCTTTCTTTCGTTTCGTCTTGTTTCGTTCTGCTGCCCGTCGTCTAGCTAGCCTCTCCCCTCGTGTCGCCTCCCCTCACGCGCTTCAGGCTGGCCCCGTTTTCATTTCATTTTGCCCCTCTCCGGCTACACCCACTGTCCTCCCCCCCCCCCCCCGAATTCTCTCCCAAACCAGCCGAGCGCCAGATGCCTGCGGAGACTAGCCCCGCTAAGGGGCTACAGTCCTGGTGTGGGGAAGCATTTGTGTGAGCATGAGGTGCGGGCAGAGCGGATAGGTTGATGGATGGGTGGACATGCGGACGGGGGAACCACTGTTGTACGGGAGGGCAGCGCTGCTGGTCGCGAGAGCTAGAGGAAATTCCACTGTAGATGTCGGCAAACGGACCTGTCACCGAATGCCGAACTTTTACCGAACCTAGGGTGGTGGTGACATCTCGAGGACGTGGGGCGAACAAAGTAGGGAGGCAAGACGCTGCCGCCTCGGCAAACATATATTTTGCCGAGCCGCGTGGGGCGCGAAGGTTCGGGAAATGTGAGAGCCAACCACGCCGAGCAAAAAATCCTCCAAACCTAGCGACAGATTTGAGGTGTGCGATGAAAACCCTCGGAGGCCTAGACACAGCCGTAGGGTTACTGTTTACGAGCCGTGTCTTGGGCTCGTCACGATGGATGTGACGCCACAGCATGCCGATTCGTGGGTGTTTTAGGAGTCGCGGATGCTTGATGGGAATGGCGGGAACCAATAACAACGGTTTCGTGGCAATCAAACAACGGTAGGCTCTCCACCATGGCGTTTCCGACACCTAGGGCTCACCGAACCTACGACTTCGCCGTACACTCTATTTGTCGAGGCATCGAAGACCCAGTTTCGCCTAAGTAACCCGACGCATTCGCGAAGAATGCTCTTTTGTTTCTATTAAAATATGCTACAGTTAGCTGAAGTCTCCATGACACTCTTATTGTATCCATGCCTAAATCAAGTGCTTTGCATATAGTACTTGTTATCATATATATAATCTGTAAATTCACGCGTCATGTGAGGTTAAGATCTCCCTAGGATTTTATTTGAATACAATCTACAATGTGACACAAAATACGCTTTAGTAATACGTATATAGTTGATAATCAATTCTCAAATACTTTAAAGTAAAGAAGCTGCAAATGGAATGATAAAATCTGTTCTGACGTTTTATCATCCTTGAACAATGCAAGAGTCAGCAGCCCATGGCCCCTGTGTCCGCATCGCGCGTGCTGGAATTGGCCGCCGAGATGTTTCTATTGGACGGCCTTTTAGCCCCAGACCAGTCGACAGCGGAATTCGGAAGGCCATGGTGAGTGACAAGACAAAGCCAAGCCAAGCCACGTAAGCACCCCAAATTTCCCAACCCAGCCCCACACAGCACAGCAGCAGGCAACCAGCAAACTCAGCAGCGGCTCGTCACGCGCCTGACGCGGGCTGAAGTTGTGTTCGTTCCCCAGCTTTTGACTGGTGAAGGGGAAGATGTGAAATGTCCCCCATGATTCCTGTTGCTTGGTGTTGGAACAGGCGCCATGGGAGGATTTGACAGCTCAGTCTAGTCAAAGCAAGCGAAGGTAAGTTCACTTCTTGTTTCCGAGCAAACGACTCCTTCACTATTCCTTCCCAGGCATAGTTTCTTTCTTAGCCTTGGAGCACCAGAGGTTCACAATCCAATCCCACAACCTGCCCAAAACATGGGTCACTTGAGTGCACAAGTCGTCTGTAAATATCTCCCCAGTCATGGCTGGAATATTCGTTGGCACCACTCAAGCAGAGTCCACCAATACGCAGCGAGATTCACACGTCAAAGCCTGGCGCCTTCCTTCCTCACCCTGTCTTCGCCCTTCTTCCTGCCGCAATGCTGGCAATGGCGCGGCTCGAGACACAAGTAATGTGCCGAGGAGAGACGCGGTTCTCCCCCCAGAAATGCCTCGTCTTCCCTCGAGGGGCAAGAAGTGTGTCCAGAACAAAGTGCGTTCTATTCTCGCCCCGAACCTTCATTCTTTCAGAATTCGTAGCTAGACGCAGTAGTCCTTGTGCTAACAACCAGCTCCGAGGTTCACGTCTCATTGCTCTATTGTCATGCACTCTGCTCAATACCGCACGACCCCCAAGGCAGCCCTTTCCACCGCCACTAAACGGACCACCCGAAATCGTTCCTAATAACCGTCCTACTACGTACCTGACCAGGATTTCCCGTGCTGTCCAACTTAGTATCTCCCATGGCTACTAAGTCAGTGTGGCCGAACCGCACTTCCCGGGCGCGCCTCCTCCTGCTGATGTTTCTCCTCCTCCCTCCCTTCACCCATTCCGCGCGCCACATCATCCTTCCGCAAGCCGCAAGCGAGGTCCTTCCGCAAGCCTCCAAGCTGCTTCCCCAAGCGACGGAGGTCGAAGCCGTGCGAAACATCCTCACAGCGGCGGGCGTTGCCGACCCCGTCCCCGGCGCTCCCGCGAGCCCCTGCAGCGTGGAAGGCGTCGCCTGCGACGCCAACGACTACGTCACGTCGCTCGACTTCTCCCCGTGCTCCGCGACGCCCTATGCGACGCTCCTTACCGGCTCGATCTCGACCTCCATAGGGAGCCTCGTTCGTCTCACCAAGGTTGACTTTTCGTGCAACGACCTGACTGGGACCCTGCCGACGGCTCTCGGACTGCTGACGAATCTGCGCCGGGTGAATATGAGCGGGAATCGGCAACTTCGAGGGGCGATTCCGGCCAAGATTTTCGCGCTGGGGTCGCTTTCGGTGATGGATTTTCGCGGCGCGGATCTGGTCGGGACTCTTCCTACCGGCTCGACCGGCTATTCGAGGGCTCTGAGGCACGTCGACTTGGCGTACAACCGGCTGTATAATCCCATTCCGACATCTATTTCTCGTTCGACCAACCTGGAACGGCTGGATTTAAGCTTTAACTACTTCAACGGTACCGTACCAAGCCAGCTGAGCAGTCTCGGCCAGCTCACTTACCTCGGGTTAAGCTGGAACAAGCTCAAGGGGACCGTCCCGACAGGAATCGCGAAGCAGACGCTGCTGGAGGAACTGCACTTGGAGGGGAATAAGCTGACGGGAAAGCTGCCGTGGCAGTTGTACCAGCTCTCGTATTTAAAGCACCTGGGCTTGAGTTATAACTACATGTCTGGTGGTGTCCACACTGCGATTTTCCGCCTGCCTGCGCTGCGACAGTTGAGTCTTCGTCGCAACTGGTTCAACGGAACGCTTCCCGCCAGCGAATCTGGATACCGGGTGAACACGCTCCTGCATCTCGACCTCGCGAAGAATCTATTCAGCGGGAACATCCCGATTGGTCTTGGCGGCGTTGTGGAACTTACCCATCTTGATTTGAGCCAAAACAAATTCTATGGTAACATTCCGTCGGACCTTGGCGATTTGACAAATCTCAGGTTCCTGAATCTCGCATGGAACGGGCTCAATGGCAACTTGCCTGCACGATTCAGCCTTCTTCGCGGACTTCGCACGCTTTCCGTCGCACACAACAAGCTGACTGGCGTGAGCTCGCAGGCCTTTGACCACGGAAACGAGTCGCCGCGAGTCGTTCTTGATCTGAGTTACAATCTGATTGGTGGAAACATTAGGACCTTCAAGCCGTTGGCGAGGGTTGCGAACCTTGACATTTCGCACAACCGTCTCACGGGCAGCATTCCGTCAGGTTTTCTGACCGGCTCGACGGTTCTGAAGCGCGTCAACATCAGTTCGAACCTCATTGACAGCACCCTGACGCCATTCAACAGCCTGACCAACCTCGCTTCGCTGGACGCGTCGCACAACCAATTGCGTGGGTCGATACCGTCGCGCCTGGTCTCATTGCCTCAGCTGTCGTACATCAACCTGCGCGACAACAACATTGTGGACCACCTGCCCGACCAGCTCTTCGAAAACACCGCTCTGCGCTTCGTCGACATAAGCTACAATGAGATCAACAGTGAGTGCACCTACAAAACATATGTCTGTCTGCTAATGTATCCATATTCTTGGGAGAAGAAATGGGGTTGGTGGGACCAACAATGAAGGGAGGAATGCTACTGCTTGGATTGGGAAAAGGTTAATTTCAATTCATATCTTTTATGTTGCCTTTTTATACCACCCTCTTCCCCTCACCCTTCTCTTCACTCTTCCAACAGGTCACCTTCCTGAATTTGTAGAATGTCCACGTGTGCTCTACCTCGGTGGCAACCACCTCTCCGGATTCATCCCGGAATCCATCTCGTCCTGTGGTAACTCTCTTGTCAAACTCGACCTCGCTGGTAACCGCATAACCAGCACTCTCCCAGCTACGTCCCTTGGTGAACTTTCTTACCTCAATTACTTGAACCTTGCCCGGAACCTTTTCTCGGGCAGCATACCCGAGGCGCTGACTGGCCTGCGCGCCCTCAGGTCATTCAACCTGGCCTGGAATCGGTTCACGGGCAGCATTCCAGAAGGTTTGGGAGATGCTGCCAGTGGAGGGGCAAAGCTTGAAATGCTTAGAGTGGCGGGTAACAACCTGGAGGGAACTATTCCCGGGCAGCTCGCAGAGTTTCCGGTGTGGTCATTCCTGCCCGGCAACCAAAAGTTGTGTGGTCAGCCCGTGGGCAGCTGCTAAAGGGAATCAACGGGCAGGAGGTGTACGTGGATGAATGTGGGGTGGATTTCAGGCCTAGGGATAGATTTGAATAAATGTAAAATTTAAAGTGTTACATTTTTAAAACTGCGTATTATGAACGGAAATGTTTGTAATGCAATTTTTGGCATCGTCGAAGCGCGCTATTCGTCCTTCTCCGACTATATAATGTGGTTGGAGGTCATTCTTCCTCCACGCACGTCTTCATTCTTCATACCTCAAGTCCAATTGAGTTCCCATCCCAATTGTTTCGCTCCGCCACTCTGGCGAAGTTGAAAACTCTCCCTTGCGAGCAAACTCCCTCTACCGTCCTCGCCGATATGGTTGCCATGGCTCATGTTGGGCTGATAAAAGCCCTTAGGATCTTTCCAGAGACGAAGTCCCAGTTGTAAAATGAGACTTGAGTAGTGCAGCGGAAGTTGAGGCAGTTGAACCCTTGTACTAGTATATGAGAACAAGTGATTGACTAAAGAAACAAGCATGCAGCAATATATAGAAGATAAGAAAGCAGTTGTAGAATACAGTTACAGGAACGGTTTATCGAGTCGCACGGCGACTCGATTGCCGCTTCGGTTACCATCCGTGATGTTGTAACGGTCAGTCGTAACCTCCAGATGCGACCTTTCGAGTCTTTTCGCATTCTTTGTCCGCCCCCTCGTGCAACCTCCGTTGACTCGCGTGCTCCCCTGTAATCTTCCTCGAGTACAGTGTTATACTTCAGAAACGCTTAAGTCTTTTGAGATTTTTCCAACACTCCCCTTCGTTTCTGGAGTGCTGGCGTGTTCAGATCCGGTGACGTTTGTTTGCCCGGTCAGGAGCATGCAGTAGTCGAATTTTCTTTCGCCAATTTCTTCGTCAGATAATCTGCAGCCATTTCTATCGTCGGGCAGTAACTGAATTGAAGTCTCCCCTTCGCGATTTCATCCTTGACGAAGAAGTACCGCAGGACGATGTGCTTAGTTCGGTTGGCGAAGCCGTCCTTGTTCGCGATTTTGATCGCAGATTGGTTATCGCAGAGGAGTGAGAAGGCGGGCAGGGTCGCGATCTTCGCTTCCTCGAGTAACTCCCGTAGGTAGAGTCCTTCCTTGGTCGCAGTACAAAGGGCGATATACTCTGCTTCAGCCGAGGATAGCGCGATTAACTCCTGCTTGCTCGACTGCCAGGAGATAGTTCCGATGGGTTCTAGTCGGTAGATGTAGCCCGTCCTAGGTCGTCGATTTTCCCTATCTCCCGCGTGGTCGGCGTCGACGTATCCGAGTAGTCGTACGGACGGTGTTGTCGCTTTGCTGTAGGTAAGCCCGATCGTCGGCCTGGAGACGAAGTAGAGTAGTGCTCGGTTGAGCTCATCGAGATCTTCCTGTTCCGGTTGCTTCAGATGCGTCGCCAGTTGACTCGCACTATAGGACAGGTCGGGTCGGCAGGTTACTGCTGCGAATAGTAGGCAGCCGAGCTTCTGTTGATACTCCTGGATTTGTTTCGCGGGGAGTTTTGCGGAGGTGCTGTTGTTGTTCCCGTAGTGGTAGGGAGTTGGGACAGTAGTCGGTGTTAGACCGAATTTCTTCGCGACGGTGCCTGAGTACTTTCCAGCGTGTAGGTAGAACGCCGTGTCGTTTTCGTCGACATTCAGTCCTAGGTACTGGGTCGCTTCGTCGGACACCGTGAGTGTTAAGTCTTCTTTCAGCTCCCGTTCGAACCAGGTGGCGATGTCGGTAGTGGAGCCGATGTAGAGCAGGTCGTCGACGTAGACGATGAGTAGGATATACTCTCTTCCCTTCTGCAGTCGGTACATTCCTTGGTCATGCGGCAGCTGTAGGAATCCGATTTTTGCGAGACGGCCGTGGAGATGCTGTTGCCAGAGCCGCGGGGCTTGCTTGATCCCGTATAGGGATTTTGTCAGTTGGCATACTTTCGTGGGGTCGTCGATGAATCCGTGGGGTTGTTCGACGAAAATCTCGGCGTCCACAGGTGCGTATAGGAACGCATTCGCGACGTCGATTTGGCGTAGTGGTAATGTCTTCGTGGCCGCGACGGCGAGTAGGATGCGTAATGAGGTGTGACGGGAGACTGGAGCGAAGGTTTCTGTGTAGTCGGTCCCGTATCGTTGATCGAAGCCTCGTACGACCCATCGAGCTTTGAATCGTTCGATGGAGCCGTCTGAGTTGGTCTTAATGCGGTACACCCATTTCCCCGAGAGGACGTTTTTCCCGTTGATGCTCGTTGTAGGTACCAGTTTCCATGTTTTCCGGTCTTGCAGAGCCTTCAACTCCTTTTCCATCACTTCCTTCCATTTCGCCTTATATTCCCCCCCCCAGAGCCTGCGACAGGGTCGAAGGCTCTCGCGGAGAAGGCGGCGGCGGATGCTGGACGGAGACCCAGAGGCCTAGAATCTGCAGTCCCGTTGGTGTGTGTCGAGGGGAATTTTCATTCCCGGAATAAGCTGCTTCGTCACCGTCTTCTGGGTCAGGTAAGAAGTTGGGACCGATGCGTTCTGAAACATTTGTGTCGACTGGGTGGGGTGTAATGTAACCTTGGTCAGCGAAGTGGTAAAAGGTGTCGAGGTTGTTGCTATCGAGAGGATTGTCTTCGTCGAGTGGAACAGGTACGGAACAGAATGGGAGTGGTCCGGTAGTTTCCGAGGCTTCAGGTACGTCTTCTTCTGCCGCGTCAGCTTCGGCAGCACGGTTGGCGAAGGAACGAAGTCCGGAGAAGCCGTCGGTGGGGTCTTGTGTGTTGGCAATGTTGTCCAGGTAATGCTGCAGCGTCAGTCGCTCGTAGAAGATAACATCACGTGATGCCACGGTATTTTTGTCCTGTATGTCGAGAATTTTCCACGCGTGAAAGTGTTTGGCGATGCCGAGGTGTAGTCCCCACCGAGCTCGTTGTGTGAAGCGTCCTGCTCGGGCTGTGTGGGGTCTGTACTGTACCATGCAGCCGAAAACTCGGAGTAATTTTGTGCTGCCCCTTTTTCTTGTCCACAACAGGTGCGGTGATGCGTTGTTGGGAAGCGATGACGAGGACAGCAGGTTGTGCAGGTGAACTGCATGTGTCATCGCGTCTGGCCACAGTGTGGTGGGCAGCCTCATCCCCAGAAGCAGTTTTCGCATCGCCGTCTGCAATGTCCGGTTCATGCGTTCTGCGACCCCCTGCTGCTGGTGAGCATAGGGCAGAGACACCAGGCGTCTGATTCCTCTTTCCGCCAGATAGGTCCTGAAGCGTTGTGACTGGTATTCCAGTGCACCGTCTGACTGGAAGCTCTTGAGCTTGGTTCCTGATT